CACAGAGGATGTCGGGGTTGCCTAGCAGCGCAGCTGTAGGCGAACTGTAATTTGCTTGTTCAGTTTTTATTTTGAGGACCGACAGCCAGGAAGAAAACACTGTTCCGGGATCCCTGGTGCTTCCTCTGAAATCCGCTCTCTCGTCGCTCTGTGTGCGAGTTCTGACTTCTATTCCTCCACGGCCCCGTCTTTCCACTGCCGCTGTCTCTCGTTGATGTAATGGAATAGTGTGGACAGGTGTTGTGGAGTGGGGACTCTTGTCTAATGCCACTTCTCAGAGAGCACACGTTTGTGCCAAAACCTCCTGTCTGCAGCAGCCTTGCATATGGGCAAATTTTCCAGGAAGTTTCCTTGATGGCAGCTGGGCTCTGACGGTCCGGGAGGATTAAAAGCCTGCTGGGGCGTGGGATTTGTTTTGTCTTGATTGTCAAAGGCGGGTCTAAAACGAGGACTTGGTTCTCTGAAGGATATTCATAGGACACCTTGTAGTTATATGTGGCTGTTAAAGGTTCGGCAGCGTTTGGTTGTATGGAGACAGGGGGCCAGAGTGTGGGGCTCAGCAGCAACAACAACAAAAAAACAGATCTACTGTTACATATAATTAAGCAGCTATAAATAGAGAGGTGTCATCCAGAGCTGTGAGCCGCTGTAGAAAGTCCAAGACAATAATTCACATGCTGACTGAGTGATTTTACTTTTATATTCTCTCAGAATTTGGTTCAAATTTGATATTTTGTTCCTTTTGTTTACACTGTATAAACACAAAATCATACAAAGTATTTTTGCTCTGGATTTTAGTGTAAATATCACTTTAAATTACAGCTGTGTTCATAATCGGTTAGTCTGACAGTCACAAAACAATAATAATAATAATGATAATACATAATACAGACCTTTGGGCACTTAAATAACTTAGAAACATCATAATAAAGCTGATTTTGATTGTTCAAAAACAATCAGGATCAGCTTTATTCACAAAATTTTTTCACAAAAACAAGGAATTTGTTTTCAGTTCCACTTTGAAAGTTTAAACAGTTTGTGTCCAGGATGTGTGGGGTCTGCAGAGATGTTTCCTGACCTTTTCCAGACCCCAGATCTGTGAGAAGGTCAGCCCTGATGATCCTCTGTGCATTATCCTACCGAACAAGGATTAAAGAAATTAATTTTTGATCAATTTATTGCAAAAGTACTTTTTCTTAGGACTGTTTGCCACCTTGATGACATTTCATTCATTACTGTGTAAATGAGTATCAGCTGAAGTGAGTGTCGCCTGCTGTGTGATGCTGTCTTGTCTGACCAGGGAGCTTCAGACAGGCTGATGAGTGACGGTATTTGAAGAGCTGCAGGGATCCGATAAGTTGACCATTAAAATAACCAGAGATACTGAGTTGTTGGATAAACTTACTCAAAGAGGTGACATCTGAGGTTTGACTATGTCTTTCAATTTATAAATGATTTTTTTTTTACATAAACATAAGCATACACTCACTGAAATGTGCTTTTGATCGTATTGTCCATCAGTTTTCAAAATGGCTGACATTGGAGTGTTGGGAATATTATTTCAGAAGATGTTTGAAATATTTTCTATTTTGTTTTTGGAACATCCAGTTTGTCCAATTTTCAACCATCAGCTTTCTTATTCCACCTTCTTGGCTGTGTGCCAGCGACAGCAGAACAGTCCCACAGTATGACGGTGCCACTGCCATGCTGAACATTCGTTTTAAAAGCTCAACAGTTAAATTTTTAACTCTACTTTTCTCCAGAGAAGTGTGCTTCTCTTGTTACAATGATGATATAACTTTCATTTTAATTCTTACATAACTTAGATTTTTTGTTTTCTTTTTGGTATTGTTTATGAAAAACCTGCTGTTTATCCCCATTGTTACTACTTTATATTTAGATGTAACATTTCACAGATTTTGGATGAGATCCATCTTTAGGAGAAAGTATTAATTCAAACTGAAAACGTTCTGCTAAAACACCACAATTTCACAAGTACAATAAAAGTTTTTCAATTTTGATAATTGAAAACCCTCAGTAACTTAATTTGTGAATATTATTGTTATATATTATATGAATGGTAAATTTGAAAAAAAAAAAGTATCATACTGCAAAAACACAAAATCTTACCAAGTATTTCTTAGTTTCTAGTGCAAATATCTTGAAATAAGACAAAACTAACAACTTTTAGTAAGAAATATGAGCTTGTTTGTTGAAAGCTCGTTCGTTTTTTCCACATATCTTGCTGAAAATTTGCTTTTAAATTGCATTTTGTCTTAATTTCAGATGTAATAAGATATTTGCACTAGAAACTAGGCAAAAAAATATTTGGTAAGATGTTGGAATTTTCTCAGTAGAAATGAATGTACCGCAGGCAAATAAATAGCTGTGCTAATTTAATATGAAAGTTTTCAGTGTGCAGTATCAGCTGCAGGTGGCTGGTTCTGCCAGATGTATTTAATTTAAATTTAATTTATGCAGTTAAATTTAAACTTATTTAATTATTTGATTTGTATTTAATTTGCCTCTTAATAAAGTATTTTTGCATCTAGACGTCCCTCTCTGCGTCCATCCTGTCCACACAGAGAACTGGTTTGATGCCAGACCGGCAGCCTGCAGGCCAGCAGCGACCAGCAGCTGCTGGCCTGCAGGCAACCTGTTAAATGTTGCTTTTTATTAGTGCCGCCGGTGCCAGCTCCAGCTGACTGCATGAGGAGGAGGAGTGAATGGAGCAGCTCCAGTTATTTATGTGCTGCGAGGTTTACACACTAACTGTTGGTGTTGGAGCACGTTGTTAAATATCAGCAAACACGACCGTCTGACTCCAGGCATTAAAAATCAGCTGGTCAGCATGTTTGAACCCAAATCGGTTTCTAATATATCATATAAAATGTCCCTGATTGTGAAATAAACATTTTTTAGAAGCTGACATGTTAGTTTGCTGGTCAGACCATTTCTTACATTTTAAAAATCAATAATTAGCTAATCAATTAATTGCATAATAAATTAAAACAAACTCAAATCATTTCCATTGGTCTGATTTATCATTTATTCCTTCTATTAAAAACTGGAGGATAAAAGTTTTCAGTTTGGTGCTTTGGTCTCAACCTGCCCTATTTTTAAGGACAAATTTGTTTACCCAGGCTGCAAAATTCATTTTATTTGTTTATTTATTTTGGATATTTAAAATGTCTCCAGTAATGCAATAACATAATATTTTCTTGCATTATTATCTTTGCCATTATCGTTACATTTTATAAAAATGGTCTCAAAACAGCAATATTATCATTTATTGCAATAAATTCTGGAACGATTTATCATCCAGGAGAATTTGTCATTGTGACAGGCCTAAAAACAAATATTTTTTTATTCCACTGAATAGTTATCAGATTAAACCCAATTTCTCCCCTAAATATTCCAAAATTGTGAGGCTATTCTGCTTCAATCCAACATTAATGAGTTTTAAGGCATTTTGTGCATCTTCTGCAGGGTTGCCTGGCTTTGATAAGCGGCGTTGTGTTATTTAAACCTTTCATTTTGTGCAGAAATGCGGTTATCATCCCCAGCAGCAGTCGCTCATGTCCCCACCTATCAGACTGCCAGGGCTTGATTCAGATAATTGTGATGATGTGCTGCGACTTTGAAGTCCGTGTCGCTGGTTGGGGGCTGATGAATTCCAACAAACACATTTACATTCTGCTTTCATCTCGACACGAAGCCGAATTTCCAGAGCTGCTAACGTTTTGGTGGCTCCGGGATGCGGTGGGGCGGGGGGAGCATGGAGAAGCCAGGGGATAAAATGTCCAACATGAGTACTTAATTGATTCCATTATCATATGAACAGAAGCAAAACAAAGAATTCAGTCAGACTTTGGGTGACATTTCTGCATTTAGAGCACAGCGGGTGTTTAGCTGCAGCTTGATTTATGCTGTCAGCGTGCCATAATTGCTCAGCCATTACAGGTAGTGAAGCTGCATGTTTTCACTAAGAAAATCAGCTTTTATTATAAATACAGAAATGTTGGAACGATGTACTTCTGTCTGACTCTTAAGATGTTTGACACATTCATCTGGAGTTTGGCATATTTTTGTCAGCGTAAAGTCTGGAGATAAATAAACAAAGTGGCCTTTGTATGCCTGCAAAATCTCATTCAGCTACTATTGAATATGTAAAAACAGGAAACTGTGCGACTCTGTTGCCCCCTTGTGGACGATTCAACAGCTTACATACAGTTCCTATTCATACTTCCTGAACCTTCCCTCATTTTGTCATGTTATAGCCACAAACTTCAATGTATTTTATTGGGATTTTAAGTATTTGACCAACACAAAGTAGTGCACAATACTGGGAATGTTTTCAAAGACTTTACATGCAAAAATGCTTTTGTAATTATTCACTAATCTAGTAGAGTCCACCTCTGCCTAAATGATTTTCAAAACTAAGGAGAATAGCAGACAAGCTAGAGATAATGCGGACAACTTTAAATCAGGATCAGGTTTTGAGTGCTGGATAGTTTAACATTTGTACTAAATTAGATTTTTCCTCACTTTTCAATAAAAAATACATAACACATAGCTTTAAAAATATCTTAAAAATTGCCTTATTATTTGTTATTGGGGTTGACCTGAATTCAGTGTCAAAATGAAGAAAAACCAAACAAGATGGTGGTTCTGTGTCGGTCAACATCATCCTGTAAACCTAAAAAAATGCACATTTTCCAGAAACATAAAATTCAACTTAATAATAAAATTAATTTTATTGATTAATTCAATCTGGTAGAGGCAAACTGTAAAAGTTGATTTATGATTGACTCAGGTGACCTGAAGAAGAAATGCACTCCACACTTTTCAGATTATTAGAAAACTAAACCATTTATTATGCTATTCCCCTTCATAGTTATGCACTGGCTTGTATTTGTGTATCACATATGATCACCAATGATAAATTTGTGAAATATTTCACCAGGTGTGAAAACTTTTGCAATTCATTCTCATTCTAGATATTATGAAACGGCCAAAGAAAAACGAGTGGGTGGACAACAACCTTCCCACCAAAAGAAAGGACGGCCAGGAGGAAGGCGAAGAGGAGAATGAAAGGGTGAGGAGGGTCAGGGTTGCATTTAAGGCCAAGCGGGAGCGTCGGCAGGGTAGCAGCAGCGCCACCATGTGCCAGGTGTGCAGCATAAGGCTAAACTCCAGCGCGCAGGCGCAGATCCACTACAGAGGCAAGACGCATCAGAGGAGGCTTCGGCGACTGGCGAAAGCTGTCAGCGCAGGTAGGAGCACAGCAAGAGGTCAACATGCTTGTTTTTAGAAATCTTTGATGTTTGTTAGCATATTGGGGGCTGCTGGTCATCAACACGTCTCAGTACACATTCACTTTAGATTGCTTAATACCTGCTTTTATAATTTATTTGTTTAACGACTTTGTTTGCTTATAAATCTCTGCTTGTGTGTCAACAGCTATTTCTATTCTTGATTTAATCAGAAAATAAATACATCTGATAGAAATGGGTGTGGAGTTTTATGTTTAATAATGCAGAAGTGGATTTTTATTTCTGGCACAGCAACTGAAGACCATTTATCTTTTATTAAGCTTCTAAATTAAAAATAGCTCTAAAATATTAGTTAGTAATAGAACAACTTCTTCTTTAGTAAAGAACGACTTCTTCTTTTATTTCTATGTATTTAACGTCATTGGAAAGCTTTGGATCCACACTTTGAAAACCTGTAAATAACTGAAAACTTGTAGACTTGTTCATTGTGTTCATTAGGCATGCCTCCGCAGAGTTGTTGCATGTCAGGTAAAACTTTCTGCAGTGAAACATCTACGCAAAAGTTGCAGTCTTTTCTAATAAAGCACCCGAAATTATGAGATGAGCAACATGTTGGGTTTTGTCAACTTGGACAGAAAATCTCATATCTTTGTGTTTGTTTGACATCACTCACGTTGGCTTGAAATGACCACAGTTTAATCATCAACTGCTCCATCCTCAACGAAAACGTTATGAACTTTGACAAAATGTTATTTACTGCAGGGCTGTTGTGTCATCAGCGCTTCTTCTGCTGGGATCTGATTTATTGTATTCAGTTCAATACAGGGTTTGCTTACTGAAAAATGACCGGCATGTAGAAAAATGGCATAAAATTCATATCGTGGAAAATATTGTGATGTATGGCAGTCACAATATACAATCCAGGGAGATTGCAAAGTGTGCTTTTACGAGTTTTTTCTTTTCTTTTCTTCTTTTTTTTTTTTTTTGTGGTTTTGGAAAGAACGTCATCCCGCCTCACGGCGCTTCCTCGCTGTCTGACCGTGGCATCTGCTGCACTCCTCCTGAGCATCACACTAAGACTGTGGGAACCGGGAGGGTTAAGAAACAGGGTCCGTTGGACTCAGCAAACTGTACCCCCTACACTAAAACATTTGAAGGTGGCATAACTTGAAAATGAAAGTTCACCTCCTGCCTTGAAATTTATGTCAACAAGAAAATTGTTTATGAAGAAATTAAAGTTTATGAAGTTAATTTAACAAGAGACACATTGTCTAAACATTGCTTTTTAAGTTCATTAATCTTGAAATGTGAGTTTTAACTTAAAGCTGCAGTTTAAACCAAATAATTATTTCACAATATGCAGGAAAATATTTTCTCATTAAAGAGCCATATTTCTGTTTTTTACTCACATTATGAAGTTCAAATAATTACTTATTTTACTTTAGAATATTGAAGTCTTGTTTCAAATTGCATGAACAAAATTTATGATCTGATAATAACTTTTTATTAAATATCACAATGAATTCAACTGAGAAACATTTAGTGTGAACAGGACATTAAAATAAACATTTTAATAACACAAGAGTCAGATCAATGTAACGCACTTCCATCTCAGGATACAAAAACATGCCGCTAAGCATTCTGGGAAATAATTCCCACTCCTGTCTTCTTCTTCTTTCAGTTTTTTAAGTGCTAACCTAAAAACTGCAGTTCATTCAACTCTTGGCGTTTTTGACAAAAGTAATAAAACGATAACACAACTTACTGTTTATCTTTCACAAACTCACTCATTTAGGTTCAAAACCTAAAACTCTCAATTTATTTGACTTAAAGAATAGAAGGTAGTTGACACAACTAAATGCGGCTCAAATGTTTTACAGTGTACGCATCCCAGCGGGGTCCCACTGACTCTGCATGCGCTTTTTCCCTTCACTTCCCCACTGTCTGACCGTGACATCTGCTGCACTCCACTTGAGCATTGTGCTAATCGTGCTAAGACCGAGGGAGGCTAAACCTGAACCAGGTCCAGATCATTTACTTTCTGCGCCTGTCTTTTTACTGATCTCTTACACGCTGCTTCCTGATGCTGGATGGTTACATCATCAACAAGCATTGCTGTGGTTGGCCGGTGGATTGCAGATCTTTATCGTAGGCCAAATTTCTATCGTTTCTTCCTATACCGGATGTGTCACTCATTCCTACTGGTTTGTTGCTTATCTTGTTCTGAAATTAGAACTACTTCTTTTCACGGATTAACTTGTGCAAACTTGCATTACATTGTAAAATATTACAACTTGAGCCACAAAACTGGAAGACATTTTTTGAAAGTTTTTATATGTTAACTTTTGCAAACCATTATTGCATGCTAAGAATGTAGCCGCTGCTCCAAACAAGCTTTTTCTGAGCACCTGCTCTGTTGAAGCATCATTAATCACCTCCCGTCAGAAACATCTGTGTCACTCTGCATCTCCAACTGGGTTGATCAAATCTGCATTTGGGAAAGTAAAGGAGTCTAATGAACAACTGGCCGGTAAAATGCCGCTTTTCTAACGCTGATTTATGATGCTGTCTATTGCTGGTGGCTTGGTGCACTTATTTAGCTGTTTGAGTTTCACACAGCACAAAAGATTAAATAAATTTAAATCTACTGGTGACTTTCTCCCTTATTTGAACCTTATTTTGTCATCATGATCACATTATTGACTTTTTCTGTGTCAGATAATGGCCTTTTGCAGATCATCAGTCATACTTAGCCTGCCGGACTGATTCCTTTCTAATGGTGAGATGGGCAAAATATTGAGCATGCTTCTCCATGCATATGCCTGTGTTTGAATATGTTACTCACTGAAAGCTTTTTATGGAAACAACTTGTATTTTTATAATAAACAAGACTTTTAACTTCTAATTTAAATGCAAAATATCAATACTGGATGCAATCAAAACTAAGATAATAGTCACAATATGGTTAGTATAACAGAACAAATAGTCTGCACCTTTTAGAGTTGTTTTTGAAAAACATTTTGAATTGCATCCTTTTTGTAATTTCTGTTGGTATAACTTACAAAATATATTGAAACTTGTGTTTGTAACGTGACAAAAATGCAGAAAAGTCGTCCATCCTGTTGGTCAGTGACTAAAAGAAATGAAGCTATAACATTTCTAATGAAGCAAACAGGAAGCAGGAAGATCCTTTTTGATGTAAAATGCATCTTCCTAAATAATCAAATAAAAATATATATAGATGTAGTTTACATTTTATTTTTTAAAGCTTAATTGTGATTGTGGCACTAGTGGAGTGAGTTTAATGCATTAATTAATACGACAGAATCCTGCTAAATTCATGCACCAAAACTAAACATTGTACTTGAATTAAGCAGCTGGCTGCAATTAAATAGACCTTTTTTTCCATTTTGACAATAAATGTAGAACACATTATAATTAAAGTCAATAAAAATAACTTCCAGACTCCTTATGTTACTAAATATCTACATTTAAAAATGTAGATGCAGATGAAGGTCACTTTTTAACAACCGATTCTGAAATTCAGTCAATTTGAGCTTGGAATAAATTATTGCTTCCTTTACAGATATATCATGTGCAGTAAGTACTAAATTATAATATTTCTGCATGGATTGCTGAAATCCCATGTGAAGTCAGGGTTTCCCTCAGTGTATTATAAGCCTGGCGGGCTACCAGGCTTTACTTGTGCCCCCACCAGGCTTACCGTTGCTTATTTATTTAAAATATTTACATTTTTAAAAACTTTATAGTTGGTATTCAGGTATTAATCTTCCAGTCTTTCAATAACACATAATAATCAAGTGATATCTTCAAATTTCCTGTCAACTTTAAACATTTTTTAACTCAAAAACACAACGGGCAGCTGGATGAATGACTGCCGTAGTACCCAACCACCAGGCTTGTCAAGTTTTCTGGGGGAAATCTTGGAAGTAACAAGTATTTTATTAGGCTTTTTATATGTTATTTTTATCAAACCAACAGAAAGTTTGTGTGTTAACTTTTTGATGTTGTGGTGGGAAAAGATTTAGCAACGTAAAAACCTCCAAATAAGGCACATTACTTTTCTGAGGCGGCCACTGTCTCTGCTGCTTATTTAACAGCTAAGAAGAAAAAAGGGGACAAGCCAAGTCAATTAAGGTGACTGTTAGTATAATTCAGACTGTGCAGCAATGAAACATCTAATAATCCTTGTTCCCTCCAATCCCTTCTCACAGCTGAACCAGCTTTCCTGGGTTTTTTTCAGCTTCTTCAAGTGATTGCACAAATGAAAAGAGATTTTAATAGACTGTTCTCACTGGGGGCCTTTTGAAAAGGGAATGGAGCAAATCACTTATCACCGTTCTGCTGAAGAACAGAGCAGAGGCGAGGAATCCTTTCAAATCACGATTATGTTTTTTTTCTTTATTTAGGTTTTGTGTCTGGATTGGTGGATTTAAAACTGCAGGAAAGTAAAGAAATATTAAGATGTAATCTCTCGGTTGTGCTCCATTTCATGTTAATCTGCCAGAATCGTATCATGTGGGTTTCATACCCTACTAACCCCACTGTCTGTTCGACATTTTCAGCCCACCTAATCTGTCTGAACTAAAAAACTCTGAGCTGCACAGTGTCTGATTTGGCTTTTACTGTGGATCTCCTGTCTGTGACCTTATTTTTATTGTTGCCTTGCAGTGAGAAGGTTCTGGGTTTGAATCCCCGCCTTGTGTCTTTCTGCATGGAGTCTGCATGCATGGCTTCCTGTAAGACCGTGCCTGTGGGCAAAGACATTGGGTGGACAGATAAAAATAGGGATTCATGTGAAATCAAGCATCACTTCCACTTTCAAAAGGTCATGCTTACATGTGTTGCATCTGTGATCTAGATCTATTTTCTACTATTCTTCCCTCATCTGTGAAGAACCTTGGTGTGATGTTTGACAGAAATTTTTAATTCAACATCCCGGAGGTCAAGCTTCCACCAATGAAGACTTATAGCCAAGG